TAATTGAATAAATGTAAGGTATGTCTGTTTAATGTCATACTGTGGAACTTTCCAAGCAGAGCAATAGCATTTCCATAGAAACAAAAAGTGAGAGGCCCCTCTCTGAAAAGTTACATAGTCCACCTTTAAGCTGTAAAAAGTTGAATTAATAACTTCTGTGACTCATTACAGATGCAAACTTAAGTGCTTCATTCTGTTATTTATTCAGTTCATGAGTTTTTAACAATATTTTAGATCTAGAATAGTTTTGTGGATTAAATCTGATCTTGGGTTCTTGTATCAGTGGCTTAAATTAGTTTCAATATTATAATTTCAGCTATATATCGTACATCAAAATTTGTTATTGTGACAGGCCTAATTACTGTTGTATATCATCTTTATTGACCGAACAATGTTTTCCTTCTTGGTTTGGATGTTCAAGGGTAAATATACTGGTCGCTGGGAGTAAAAGGGTTGTGAATCACTGCTCTAGTTAACACACACATCAACAAACAACACTGATAAAACACAGTGTCCCGTACAGAGATAGGACTAAACGGTTACATAAAGTATCTTCTGCAGGCATAGTCCCAGTACCATCTCATTAAAGCAATACTCCCAACTACTCTTGATGCATGTACTTTTAATCGGGATCTGACTGCCCTTACAAGCCCATAAAACACCAGCTAACTCAATAGAAGTTTGTAAAACATTAACTCGAGGAGGAGGATTAATTGTTACGTTCAGTACATTTGCGATCGGGTCATTAGTGCTTTTTCCGATCAATAGTAATTAAGGACAGAGCGGCCACTGTCCATCGAACTCAGGCCTCAGAGATGGATTGGTCCAAAACGCTACCAACACAAACAAGTTTATTTTTAATCTTTCATTGTCTGAGTGAAGGGAGAGGAATGATTTGAGCATATGGGTTATAGCTTTTTGAATTTATATTTTTGAATATTAGAAAACATGAAAGACAGTGTTGCCACAAATTTATTCCAAGATTTTAGTAGCACAAGGATATACTAATACTAATTTGAATTGAATTATTTGAAGTTTTGGATTAAATTGGTAGAGGATTTGTCCGGTGATCCGAAGATTGGCGGTTTGAATCCCGCTCTGGACATAAACATCATTTAGTTTAGCAGTCAGATCTACTGACACAGGTTGGCTCCCTTTGATGAATGCTGTCGTTGTGTCCTTGGGCAAGACACTTCACCCACCCTCTCCCTAAGTGTCTGTGTGTGAATGGGTGAGTGCTTCCTTGATGTAAAGCGATTTGAGTGAAGTTGGAAAAGCACTATATAAAAATGTGACCATTTACCATAATTTTATTTGAGCACTATAGTTGATGTTTAAGTGAGTTAGATTCAGTTTTATATAAGCATATATAATAGTAACCTTTTGTTCAGCTTCAGCAAAATTACATTATGGGGGCCCACAATAGTCAAATTTATAATGTGAATGTACAAAAATCATGTATAATCTATTTTGCATTAATGCCCTGATAATTTCATACTCTAAAGTGTAGAATTATATGCTGCTGTGACTAAAAAGCCAGAGAAATAAAAATGTTTTAAGACATGTGATATGTAAACGTTTATTGTTTATTGCCCACTATACCTCTTATCTATCTTCATGATGCACTAAAGCTTAATTGTATAAACGAAATATAAAAACAATCCTCACTCTTATTTCCATTGCTAATCTGAAAGCCTTTGCTGATGTGTTTATAGATAGTGAAATCTCCCATGAGGCCAGTTGAAGGCGGAAAGACGACATATATCTGAACTGTCCCCTGTGTGCGCCTTTAAACTTTCAACTGTGCAGTGCTCCCAGCCCATTGACTTATCTGCTAAATTGTTTTGTCTGTTTCCCATAGATTTGACTGGAAAGGAATGCAGTCAAAATTAGCTCAGAGCAACCCAGTAGTTAGAAATATTTTGTATAAGCTGCGAAAGTATGCATTTAGGAGAGGTCGGACAGTTTGGTTTTTAAGTTCAAAACCAGTGTTTGAACATACTGAAGTAAGAGTAGTATTAAAAAAATAATAAAATAAAAAATAAAAAATGGGTAACTGTACTTTTCTTTTAATTGGATACATTTTAATTTTACTTCACTACATTTGAGAGCAGGTGTCTGTTCTTTTTATTCCACTACATTTTTTAACTGGCCTGAAAAGTGAAAGTATTTTTTATTATTGTTTGAGACCTGCTGAAAGAGTTGAGGGGTTATTTCCATCAACTTTGACATCTGAGAAAACAAAAATTTACTAATGAAAACAGCTGTAGGGAAAAACTTCGCGCAAAATACATTTATTTTTTACTCTTTAAATACATTTGTAAATGGGTACTTTAATACTTTTACTTAAAAGGTGCATTGCACAATTTTTTTTTGTGGACTTTCTGCGACCTGCTTGTCTCCATTACACATATCCATCTAGCATTTATTCATTCGGGGTGTTTCTATTGTTCAAAAATACAATTATTCCTTTTGTGAATAGGGATGATTCTCCACAGATCTGAATAGTAATACAGTGTAGTGCTGTAACCTGCTTGTCTATCCCCAGGATAGTTTTAAACTACACTGTGGGACATTCTAGACAAAGCAATAACATTTCCATGGAGACAAGCAGGTGGTGAACCCCCCAGTAAAGATGTTACTTAGCACACCTTCAAGTAGATTTTTTCATGTGATATTTTTACTTTTACTTCAGTGTTTTATTTAGTTTTTTTCTCCAATATCTGTACTTTTACTAAAGTAACAAAATTGAGTACTTCTCCCACCACGGTTCAGAGTGACTGTTCAAAAACAACAAGTGTTCCAGACGGGAGCAGATAAAAAGAAAGAACAGGTGGTCAAATCTTTCGCCCTGACCCAAAGCCCCTCTACTTAACACGCTTCAATCTTATAGGACTCCTAGGAATTCTCACTATTGTTCTGCATAATAGAAAGTTAAAAATCATCCCCTTTGTCTCTCCCTGTTTTGCACTAAAGGTATACCATTTAACTTTTTGGCTATGGGTCAGTCACCTGCTTGTTTCTATAGATATGTCATTGCTCAGCATGGAATATTCCACAGTATGACTTTAAACAGCTTTACTTTACATTTATTCAATTACAGGTGATTTTGAAGCTCAAAAATACATAGAAAAACAGACATTCTGACTCTGAGCGGCATTGCCTCTCCACAGATCTGACCTGTAACTTGGCCTAGTTTGTCTCCATGAAGATAAAGGTTTAATGCCATACTGTGAACCATTACAGACAAAGCAATAACATCTCCATGGAGAAAAGCCTTTGACAGAGCCTCCACCAGAAAAGTTGCACAATGCACCATTACAATTGAAATTAAAGCACGTATATATAGAAGCATATGGCAGTCTCTCCACCCATTCAGACAACTATACGGTATAAACTATAGGGTAGTTGTTATGGCCCGTTGACCTAGTTGTCCATTTGGAAACCAGGGGTAAAGAAAGACACAATGAAAATTAACCACACAGCAGGAGGCAGGGAGATGTTTTGCAGCGGTTTTCTATGACAAGAGCGTAACACTGGCTATGCCTTTTAGAGACATATACAGATATTATAAGGGAGTTTAGGGAGTTTAGCTCGGTTACTACTACAGTCTATGGAGAATACTTGGCATCACTAATATACTTTATTAAGATCTGAATTCAGTGAGTATTTTAAGATATTGAGGTTGTGCTGTTAAATTAAATGTTTACCTAAAATTGTTCTCTTATTTCATAATTTTCTATCACTGTTTTACTGATTACAAACAAATTTCTCGATTTTATGATGCAATATTTAAAATGTATGCCATCAATTAAAGGTGTGCTGTATAACTTTTCTCCTGGAGACAAAGTTGTTTCTTTGTCTGAAATGTTGAGCATGTCTATACTGCTTTTACTTCATTTTCCAGCTTTTACTTCATTTTCCAGTGGGTTTATTGCTCAAAAAACCTTGAAAAACATGCATTCATGCTCTCAGTGGACTCTTCTCTCCACAGATTTGACTTGATGGCATTACCTGCTTGTGTCCATGGGGATAGACAATTTTTTATGCATTCCAGGCAAAGCAATAACATCTTCATGGAGACAAGCACTTGCCAAACTCTGATCCAGAAAAGTTACATTATAGTCCACCTTTAAACCAAAACTGACAATGGAAATGCTACTAGTTGTATACAGTAGCAGTACAGGCAATCCTACTTGCATTTATATTTCAGCAAAAGCAGCAATGAGTTATAATGGAAAAGCCCTACTACATGAACCAGACCCTGCACACATTCAATTACTCATATTAGTGAAAAGTGTTGAAAAGGTGAATCTTTATTAGCTGTTTTTATGCCAAGAGCAGTTAGTGGCGCATGAAGGAGAGGGTCTCGAGTTCACGTCCTTATTCAGACTATGGCTCTGGTATAGGAGCAGACAATGCACAGATTGTCCCAAGAAAGAATCTAGGACAACCTACTTCTGCAAGTAAACAACCAAGATGGCCACTTCAGACTCACATTATAAAAGCAAGTAGGGCTGCTCAGTATGAAGAAAACATGGTATATTCTAGTATACATTTAGATTTTCATTCATTTTTTATACCTGGATTAACTTGTCAAATTTAAAACTTAAAAAAAAGTAAACCAGATACAAGGCCAATTTAAACCCAATGTCGAATTATCGATAATAACCTGTTGTTTAAAATATGCAAAATGTGAATACAAAATCTTAAAAAGCGGCAATAAATAAATAAAACTTATTACAACATAAGTTTCTTTATAAAAATGCAAGAAATTTATGTTGCAATCTTTCAAAAAAGTTTAAAATTTACAATTTCTGCACCACTCCTAATGCATCTAGTCAAAGATAATGGGACAGTTTGTTTTAGTAAAGCTAATGTATTCAAATGGAGTTGTAATGAGATGGGCCGGCGTGGTCCTTTTATGGTTTTAAAGTTGACCTGTGGTCAAAGCCTCTCTTGTCAGCAGCACTTTGTATCAGAGAGAGAGAGAGAGGGAGAGAGAGAGAGAGGGGGAGAGAGGGAGGGGGAGAAGAGGGAGAGAAAGAGAGTGGGAGAGTAGAGCAAGAGAGCACGAGTTAGATGGAGAGAGAGAGGGAAGTGGTGAGAGAGATGGAGAGATACAGAGAAAAGGGCGGAGAGACAGAGGGGGAGATGGAGAGAAAGAGGAGAGAAGAGACTGGATAGTGAGAAAGGAGGAAAGGAGAGCCTGAGAGAGAGAGAGAGAGAAGGGAAGAGAAGAAGGAGAGAGAATTCATGCCTGGGGTTATAGGAGTGACAGCCGAACAATTAGCAGCACGCGTCACAACTCAAGTGGGACAGTCAGCACGAGTAATCTGCTATACTCAAATCTGCTCAAATAAATGCTATTATTATCCCCATTCTTTGTTAAATGAGCAAATAAAACATAAACATGTGTTTCAAAATTATGAAAAATTAGGTCTCTTGCCTAATTAACAATTTAAAACAAAACATTTGTATATTTTGAATTGTGAAAACTCCCCAAAATGTCACAGGAAGCTAAAAGCCAAGAGCAGGTATCAGCTTTTTCAGTGTAATTTTTCCTATATGACTTTATTCCTGTTTTACTTCCACAGTTAAATTATAAAATGATTCTCTAATCCAGACAAGACCTAACTCTATTGCCTTGTTTTTGTTTATCTTCAGGTAGTGCCCCCTCTTGTGGCTGCTCTGTGTCACTGCAGCTCACCTCTTTTCACAGGGCCCTGGGGGATTACGTTTGAGCAGCAGAGCAGATGGTGGTTTCTTTAGTAAATTTAGCCTCATAAGACTCAGCGCAGACGGTGATGACTCTGCACTTTAGGTAATAGGTGATATTATTGTTTTAAAATCCTGTCTAGACCTCTTTCACGTTATTCCTGTTAATCGCATTTCCAGGAAGTAAAGTTGAGTTTTGGGCAGTTAGTCAATGTGGAGAATTTGTTCTTAGTATGTAAAATGTATTATTATTAATTCATGTTTGTTTTTGTTTTTTAAGGTGCACTATGCAACTTTTCTGGTGGGGATAAGCATCTGCCATCTGCTTGTGACCATGGCGATGTTGATTTTCCTAGAATGTTCCACAGTATGACATTAAACATATGTATTTTTTTATTTATTCAGTTAAACTTCAATTATTTACCAGAAAAGTTACATCGTGCAACTTTTTAATGCTGGTTGTCTTGGCGACTTGTCAGCACTATCTTATATACATTCAGTGATCAGTGTTTTGCAGTTATAATAATAATTTTGTCATTCATTGGAGACAAAAATGATGACTAAATGCATAGATACTAATGAGAAATAAACACAAAATATTAGAATGGTCACCTGCCATACCCCACAGGCTCAGCATAATTGTTGTATTTCCTATAATTACATATTGACAGTATCCTTACAAAGATCTAGCATACATTATCCACTTTCTCGTACACTTTTAACCTAAATTGTCTTTGCTGGTTTGTAAACTCTCTTCTCTGTGCCCTCTTAAGTTGCCGCTTCAAAACACAGCGCTCAGTGCATTAAGGCCACGAACAGACCAAGTGATCTGAGTTTAAAGGCAGAAGAAACACTGAGGATTAGAAATTATCTCCCTCAGGCAAACAGGCCATTTCACTTCACTGTAATAATATATGGATTTATGCACATATATATGAAGAGAACAGGGTCTAATGTCATTGTTGTGCCATAAACAATACAACAATTACTGTAACTGGTTAGGTCATGTTAAAGATGCAATAAGGCAGCCATTCCCAGAGTCTGCTGTTCCGTGGCCCTTCTATCGATGTGAAAATCACGTAGGGCCCCTCTAAAAATATAAAAGAATATCATGTTTTTTTAATTTATTTTATGATTTATATATTAAAACAACACATTCCTGTGGGCTTAATACTAATATAAAGAAATATAAACACATATCTTACTTCTTGCTTTCTTTGGGGGCTCTCCTGCAATGCTTCTGTGCCCCGCAGGAGTCCACGGATCCCACTTTGGTCACCACTGGAATAAGGGATAAAGGCGCAGCAATTGGCATTCGCTTAGTTTAGAGTTTAGAATCAGTTTAATCCACATTTGCGCCCTTCTTTGGGTTAGTCCTTGTTTATAACTAGTATACCAATAATGTAAACTTATATTAGACCAAGTGAAGACCTGTTTTCGACCTGATTAGGATCTGGTGGTACTTGGAAGATCAAATATTTTCAAGATGATAAAAATTTGAGAACATTGGATTAGATCAGGGGTGTCAAACTCATTTTGGTCCAGGGGCCGTATCCAACCTACTTTGATCCCAAAGAGGCCGGATCAGAAAACTCATGTCATATAAACCCCAAAAATAACAATAAGTTCAAATATTTGTGCAGAAAAACGCAAATCTATTACAGAAATCTTTTTTAATTGATGAACTCTTTCTTATTATAATATTATAATATTATGAACAACCTGAAACTTTAAGAAAAATTCAATTTCAACACAATGTTTTAACATGAACTTGTTTGTAAACAGGAATAAGTCAGTTTTTCTTGTAAAATCCTGCACTCGGCTCCACTTTTCTCATGTTGGACATTTTTCTGATGAGGGTGTCACTGTCAACAGTCAAAACGATCGTCCTTTAAGAGCGTTTGGAAAGAGATAAGTCTTCATTTGTGCTGCTCTGGTGGGAGGGGCCACGTACAGAGACACTGGAGACGCTGCTATGATCAGCACCGCAGAAAATTACCAATATTTTAATAGAAATATAATTAAAATATTTTAGTAGAAAATCACCCAAGGGCCACATAAAAGGTCTTGGAGGGCCGGATCTTGCCCCCGGGCCTTATGTTTGACACCTGTGGATTAGATGATTCATTTACTAAAACATAATGAATGTAACTTTTTATCCAATATTTACCTTTGTATATCATTTAACGAATTTCATAATTTAAAATTTTCCTCCATTAAATGAGATCATAGTCGAGTTTCAGCTGCCTGTTATAACACAACAATGTTTTTCCCCAGTCAGAATATTTTGTTTTAAATTGTGAATCACTCTGAACCCCATGGATAGCCACTCGGTATTGTCTTTTAATGTGATCTTTCATTCATTTCTGCCCATTCAGGAAACACAACACATCAGCTCTCAGCACTGCAGCCTGATTTATGCGTTAATATGTGAATCATGCTGTCTTTTTGGAAATATTTACACATAGATAGATCAGAAAAGGTGTGTGTTTCCCGAATATGACCCCAAGACTTCCACTTATCCACGACATCACCATTTTTTGTGTACATTCTCCTCGTGATGCAGGAAGTGATGCAACATACACAGGAAGTAGAGTCCAAAATACAGGAAGTAGAGCTGTGAAATGTAGAAAGCCACTATTAGATTTTGAATTAACCAGGAAGGAAGCCCTCAGCACTCCTGCTGTTTCTATGAGACCGATGTTTGTTTTTCCTGTATGGTTGGGAAAGTCCTCAGAAGACTTATTGTGAAACTTTCTAATTTTAACAATAATTCCTCTGAGTTACCTTTTATAGAAACACAGAGTCTCCCAATTGTGTGTAGTCCTGTATGATTCACTTTTCTGTCTGGACACTTCAGGTTCAAGAGTTTGGCCTTTGTTGTAATAGACCCGAAGTAGTGGTAGCCCAGTAGTCGTTGCATAACATCACAGTTAACCTAAAACATTTATTTTTGAAGCTTACATTTTATAATTCTGTACTACTACTTGGAAGATCAAATATTTTCATACATGTTAAAAGTTTGAGAACACTGGATTAGATGATATATTTACTCAAACATAGACTAATGAATGTAACTTTTTATCCAGTATTTACCTTTGTATATCATTTAACGAATTTCATCATTTCAAAATTTTCCTCCAATAAATGAGATCATAGTCGAGTTTCAGCTTCCTGCTACAACGCAACTATGTTTTTCCCCATTCAGAAGATATAATATTTCGTTTTAAATTGTGAATCACTCTCAACCCCATGGATAGCCACTCGGTATTGTCTTTTAATGTGATCTTTCATTCATTTCTGCCCATTCAGGAAACACAACACGTCACCTCTCAACACTGCAGCCTGATTTATACGCTAATCTGTGAATCATGTTGTCCTTTTGGAAATATTTACACACAGAGAGATCCGAAAAGGTGTGTGTTTCCCGAATATGACCCCAAGACTTCCACTTATGCACGACATTGCCATTTCTGTGTACGTGTAAATGACGTGCGTGTGACTTTAAGGGTGCATTGTGTAACAAATGGTTGTCTTTCTTTGTCTGAAATGTTTTACAGTATGGCATTAGACCTTTTTATCTTCATGGAGACCAAACCAGACCTAGTTACAGGTCAGATCTGTGGAGAGGCGACCCCGCTCACAGTCAGAATGTCTGCTTTCTCTGTATTTTTAAGCTATAAAACCACCCGTAATTGAAGAAATATAAGGTAGGATTGTTTAATATCATACTGGGGAACATTCCAGGCAGAGCAATGTCATCTCCATAGAAACAGCAGGTGACTGACCCTCCATCAGAAAAGTTACACAATACACCTTTAAGTACCTGACAGCATGTAGTTCCTTTAAACTCAAATAAAATAAGATACAACTGATCCAAATGTGTTACGTAGCGGTAACTTGTCTCTCAGATAACTACAGAACAACTTTGTGTAAATAAAAGTTCAAATATTATGAGACTGGATATTTTACATTCATTACTTTCACCTCTGATCCTCATAGACGTTTTTATTTAAATAGCTTCTCCATGTTCTCAATGTTTGAATCACAGGCACAAGTTGGACTGTCCCAACTGTGGATATGATTCACTTGATTATCAGGATATTTTTGGACCTGTTGCAGCAGACTGGAGACTCGTGGGCATTGTTCAGACACACTTAAATATCCAATCGTTTTTGGTGATACGTTCAAAGTTATTTCCTCGTCTTTGTTCTTTTATCTCAAACATGGCGACTCTTATCAGCTCTCCCAGTGCTCAGGCCAAAGAACAGACCTACATTAAGTGGGGCCTCAGCAGTTTTGGAGTCTGTCAGTTTAAACAAGACAAATGAGACACGAAACAGCTCTGATAATGTAACATGGAACCTACAGCAAAAATAGAATAACACTGCAACTTGGAAATGTCACTTTAAGGTGCTATATTACACAAAATTTAGCTCATTAAAAACATACCTGGAGTTGTGTTTTGTTTCATTCACACATGCTTGGGCAGATCTTTATTACTGATCTGTCTACATCTCCAAAGCTTAAAATGCTCTGTTCCACCTCCACAGGCCTGATTTATATCCAGTGGTATTTGGTTCTTGGTATAAACTACTGTCCTAATGAAACTCTATTGTTCAAAGGTTTTTCAGAAGTTTGTCTCAAAGTTTTAAATCAACAAATACTGATCAAGACATCATGTACTTATGCCAGTTCTGAAAAGGCCACAATGTTCCTCCTTGTAATGCCACATACGACCACAGTGAAACAAAACTGAACTACACTGTCTACAGTCACTTAAAGCCATTAAAGTTGAGTGTCCTTGATATTCTTGTGTAAACTGTAATAACTGAAATAGTGTAACAGTGTCCTCTTGTGTGCCGCTTCAGCTGTTTCCTGCTCTCGCAGTTGTCCTGACAGACACAGGGCTGCCCCCATGTCCTACAGAGAGAGAGGAGGGGGGAGAGGAGAGAAAGAGGAGAGAGAGGGAGAAAGGGGGGAGAGAGAAGAGGAAGAGAGAGAGAGAGAGAGAGGTGAAGAAAGAGAAATAGGGGAGAAATAGTGGAGAGAGAGAGGAGGACATTAAGAGGGGTAAGAGAATAAACAGAGAGAGAGGTGTCTGAGGCGTGAATCCACTGTAACTTTCCTGCTTACTTCCACTAAAATGTTATTCTTTTGCCTGGAATGTTTTACAGTAAAGCTTTTCCGTTTCCATGGAGACAAACAGGGGATGACCCCAGGCTAAATTACAGGTCAGGTCTGTCGAGAAGTGACTATGCTTACAATAGGAAAGCTTGCTTGTTTTTCAGCCACCCAAGACTGACACCTGTTAGCCCCACATCAGGTGGAGCCACAGTCACTAACACAAAGCCCCGGACAAGCTACCTGGTTAGTAGCGAAATGTTTGCTTAATAGTTTAGTAAGTCCAGAAGATGTTTTGATCCATTGTTGTGACAGTACTTGTTTTCAATGCATTTTTGAGCAATAAAAACATATTGCTGTATAGTTGAATAAATGCACAATTATGTTTAATACCATGCTGTGGAACATTCATAGTGCATCTTTAAGATTTGCAGCTGATCTTTGCACATTTGTTACAGACACTTCAGCATGTCCATATTCCTGTAGCTGTTAGTGTGCATCCCTCTTCATGTTATCAGTTACAGTGATAATAACCTGCTTCATATTACATTTGCAGAAACAGAGAATACAGTTACTTTTGTATTAGATTAGCAAAGTGCCAGAGAGATAGCAACACATCTCAGCTGAGCAAGTACAGTACAAGGTTTCTAATGGATCTTCTTATCAGTGTCAGAGCTCCAGAAGTGAACTTTGTATTAACTAACATGAGAATGGTGTGAAATTCAATGATAAGACCGACATTGGCGAGTGAATGATACTGAATTGCAAAAAAAAAAAAAATCATCATAAATAATAATAGCCTGGTTGCAAGATTCATCCAACTGGAATTACTATTTGAATTGGCGCAATTTGCAAATTTCAAAAATATTCCTCCAAAATTGTTCAGCCATGTTGAATTTGGTCATTTCCTGTTGAAGGAACGATGTCAACTATAGATCAGTATATTAGTTGGCCAATATATCAGGTTGATATTTCAACTTTTTAGTGTATTGGCTATCGGCCTTAAATTTCCAGCACAGGCCAATATTTAGTTTGGCCCAACTGCGTAAATATGCATAAAGAACTGTAAAAAATTGCAAAAATGTCACTACACAACTCTCTTATCCAGTAGTTAAACAAGGTCGTGAATAAGATAATTTTGGTAGAATTACCAATATCTGCGTGACATATCACTCCAAAAATATTGGCAGAGCTTATCAGCCGTTAGTTTCTCTAGAATCTAAACAATTGGTATCTGTATTGACCATGAAAAAAACATATCGGTCAATCTCTAATATCAGCTTGGCCTTCATTTACTACATACAGTAATTGGCTTTTAAAGGGAGCTCAGTAACTTGGAGTAAGTGGACTGAAACTGGATATTAGAAAACTAGGGAGCAGAAAATGGATGGCCTGAGGATGTTAAAACAATTGGAGTGGCAAAGAAAGCAGCATGAAGTGGCCTAGAGACTAAAGGAGCAACACTTCCTGTATCCTCCTGCAGGAATGTCAGGACTCATCAAATTTACGCTTAATGATGTCATAGTGTAATCTCAGGAATTTTAAAAGTTATTGTGGGAATTTCAGAATCACTTAAGTACCATAAAATCTTAATCAGGTCTGCAAAGGACTATACCAGGTCTCAATAGGGCTAATATGGTGACACCAAACTGAACTTTCAAATGTGATTGTAAGGTTATTAAGGAAATTCTCGATACCTGATACCGATGTTACAGTTATAATTTTAAAACATATTTTTTGACAAAAGAATGTAATTTTCAAGACAAAACAATAGTTTACTTAAAATTACCACGAGATCTTGTAGTGCCTATAGTTCAAGATCAAGACCAAAACTACACAGAAATGTAAAAGTTTTCCTATTTATCTGACTTCTTTCACTATCGGTTTTTCAAATATGCATCTGTATGTATATGTAATATGTTTTAATATCAATTAGTATCTGAGTATCCATTGTTTTGACAGTCGTACAAAGGATTATATGAGAACAAAGAACCTAAATATGAATAATGTGAATAATATCTAAATTAAGCTAATTGTCATAGATAAAATAATAATAATAATAATATGGGATGTATATTACATTTTTACTTCCATAGTGTACAGTGAAATCCTATTACTTCTTATAGATCCCAGATGAGGACACAGGAAGGAGGAGGGTGTGGGTGTCTGGGCGCGGTCATGCGACTAAAAGGGATGACACTTGTGATTACGTAATGGCTGTAGGGTGCCTTGTTGCCCCCCCTTCTCCCCTCTGTGGTCTGTGGGTACTCCTCGCTGGCCCCTGATTCAGCCCTGAGGCGAGGAGAGCGAGAGGTGTCCACTCACATTATGGTCACTCCGCTGAGTGTACAGTCAGTGATGTGGTAGAGTGCCCCCTGGCTGTGTGTCAGGGACCAGTGATGACCCACAGAAAAATAATGAGATAATAGAAGGTATATAGGCTTTCTGTGCAATGTTTTATGTTTATTTATTGACCTTTATTTAATCACAAAATAAATGCAATGTGTGGATTTTAGGGAACATATAAGAAGTCTAGTTTCTTTAAAACTGCCAGATTTTGTTATTATTTAATAATACTAATAATAAATCATCCAGGTTTTTCAGTTCCAATAAAGAGAGACTAAAAATTGCATTTCCTTAAAACAAAAATAAAATAAAACAAAACTGATATAAATCTGTTATGCAGCTGTTATTTATGTCTAACAGAACAGCTCTGTGTAAATACGAATTCAAACTTTATGAGTAGGGCTTGGTATCATTAAGAAGTTGGCGATACAATACATGCTTTTATACATAGGCCACAATATGATACATATCTTGACACAGTGCACTTTCAGTTCAATTCAGTCTGATTCGATACGATGTATTTCAAAACGATTCAATACAGTTCAGTAAAAAACAAAGACTAAATCTCATAGCTGTGATACCAAAAGTCCATTAAGTCCATTAAGTTTGTGCAAAGTAAATATGAAAAACACCCATTTTACTCAAAACAGTGAAAATGTCAAAACAGCTGTAGCTCTTACACAAAATAATTTAGTAAAATATACTTAAAAATTCTCTTAGCGATCTATCGATACAGCATCCCATGATATCGATACTGTTTCATCAAATTAAACAATACGATATATCGATATTTCAGTATTTTTGCACACCCCTAATTACAAGTCTTTCTGGGACAACTACAATCTGGAAATATTCTCATTAAATCAATTTATATGTCCAACCCAGATACTGATATTCGGAAGCTGATATTCAATCCAAAGAATTTTTCAGTATTGGTGCCGATATCCGATACCTGTATTGGATCAGTGCATCAATACCACAACATTTAGAATTATTTTTCATATTGAACTGAAGTTGGTAGTATTGTGTTTGTGGTTTCACTTACTGTGAAATTTGTCCGACTGCCAATTTCATCAGCAAACCAACAAATTACTTAATTCATATCAACTTGGCTACAACTCTGCTTGATATTTAGTTGCACTTACTGTGAGCCAAGGGAACGTGTCCTTTATCTCACTGTTATTAGCCAACACGTTAGCTCTGCCGACTCCATTTATCAGCCATCTGTTTATGTTTCATTGTTATAATCTGATGAAATTGGTCACTTCTGTATTATCACTGCTATGTTCAGGCTAAAGTTTCCCCTCACAGTTATTTTGCATTGAGACTGTCGTTTCTCAATTTCTCACTTCTGCTATTAATAAAACAAGGAGCTTTTTTACTACACACCTGACAAGAGGATTTATGCGTTCCCCGAGTTTGTTCATGTGATCCAAGACGAGGCGTAGACAGGCCTCAGCTCAGGAGGGGGCGCCGGCGAGCGACCCACCAAACTGTGCATTGGTCTGGCCTGATTTATCTCTCTGTCTGCGTCAATAGAAAACACATGTAATGCAGTAGAAGAACTATGTTATATGAAAGTATGCAGTATCCACAAATATATTAGACCAATAAACTAGTATATTTCTACACTTTTTACCATAACTTGTATCATTAAACGGGCACTATGTAATTTTTTGGTCGGAGGTTCGTTACCTGCTTGTTTTTTTCACATATGAAAATCAAGAAAACATACAACTGCATGAATGTTTTTGATGAGGAAACAACATTATAACATAGATCAGAAAACAACATAATATGGGCCCTTTAAGAACATTGTAGATAGCATTTTAAAATACAGCTGTGAATTTTTCAGCTGTTACTCAAGTACTTTGTGTTAAAACATACCTTTATATGCAATCTTTTTTAACTCAGAATCCTTATCTTAGTCCACCTTAAAGATGGACTATTTGCCATTTCCACCTTAAGACCAGGATACCTCTGTTAAGTCCCACTGGTCTCTGGTGGATTTCCACAGAGCTCCGGAGCTTGTTCAAGTCCACTGCCCTGAACCAGGATGGATTTGGAAAGACATGTGGGAATTATGTGTCTGAAATGGGGCTGAGTGGGAGATGAGAGGGGCCAGAGCCAGGACTTTGGGAGAGTATCTTGTCTAAGCTTTTGGCCCAAGATAGTGTGTCTTTAAACATGAGAGAATGAACACAAAAAGCAAAGGTGGATAGGTTACTTAAAGGGCCCATATTACACAAAATGGACTCTTGTGAGCTTCAAGACAATGTTGTTACCTCATCAAAAACATACCTGCACTTTGTTTTGTTTCATTCATACATGTTTGAGTAATACTTTATTATTAATCTGTCTACATCTCCCAAGCTCAACATGTTCTGTTCCACCTTGTGATATCATGAAGCTGTAGTTTTCAAGTTAACAGCTACCTTTACGTTTAGTTCAGTAGACATTGGCAATTCCAGGGATGAAATTATCCAAATGATTCTAGAGAAGGTGTACAGAGTTTAAAAACCCAGTGGAGCATTTCCTCTATTTCCACATGACAACAGAAGGTAGAACAGGGTGTTTTATGTTTGAGAGAAGAACACAGCGTAGATATGCAGGGTTGTGAAAGTGTGAATGAAACAAAACACAACTCCAGGCATATTTTTTGATGTGGTAACAACAATCTAACATGGCTTAAAACTTGCAGGGGTCCATTTTGTGTAACCTTTAGTAAAAGTCCTCTTCATTATATTATCGAGTTGTAATGCAGTACTTTTACCATAATGATAGTACTAGGACATACCATCGCCGTGGGAATACTGTATCTAAGTTGCCCTTGTCTGTGTCTGCCCCCCCATTAGGCACACAGGCTTTTGAAGTGGCCTGACACTTGCTCCCCTCATAGTAATAGCAGCCATGTGTAGCGCAGTTGAAAGCTGTCACACCAACATTAAAGCCATATATCCCCTTTACCTTTACACATGACCCTAGTTTTATCTATTTTTTCTTGACTGCAACATAACTTACACAGTGAAGTTTTAGGTTTAAAAGCAGACCATACTTAAAGGTCCTATATTGCACAAAATGGACTGTTGTGAGCTTAAAGTCATGTTAGAATGGTGTTACTGCCATCAAAAACATACCTGCTGTTGTGCTTTGTTTCATTCACTCATGTTTGTGTAACCTTTTATTATTAATCTATGTACATCTCTAAAGCTTAAAATACTCTGTTGCACCCTGTGATGTCAAGAAGTTGCAGTTTTTTAGTTAGCATCTACGTTTTACCTTTATTTCAGTAGAGATCGGCAGTTCCAGGGCTGGAATTATCCAAGTGATTCTAGTGAAAGATGGAGTTTCAAACACAGTGGAGCACTTCCTGTATTACCACATGACATCACAAGGTGGAACAGAGTGTTTTCCTTTTGAGAGAGGATCTTAGCCTGAATATGCTGGGTTTGTGTGTTATGAACATGAGTGAATGAAACAAAACTCCAGGTATGTTTATGATGAGGAAACATTATAACATAGATCAGAAAATAGCATTATATGGGCCCTATAACTTGTAGATAAGTGATAAAATATAATAGCATTATTATTTCCTTTAATTGTTTTTTCCCTTAGGCCAATAGTGCCAAATGACCCCAGTGTACAAAGCGTATTCTTACTGCGCTGATGAGTAAGCTTCCCTTCACTTCTCCATTGACTCACACAATCATTATTTATGCAGCTAAAAATACAGATCTGTCAGCACAGTTCCCAGAACATCTGCATTATACACAGTCTGGGTGTGTGGAGAAATGAGGCTAAAACTGTACCTCAAAGTGACAAGTTATTGTTTTTGTGGACAGAAGTTTATTATGATTCACAAATATACTTAGATGGGAATTTCTAGTATATTCAGTAGCCTAGTATGGTAATGTCAGATCACTTTGGCCTATCGTTGTGACTTACAGTGTTCTTTTGTTTTCATTTACTTATTAACTTACTTAAATTCAAAGTTCTATTTAAGTTAATGGGATAAAACCTGCTGTAAATATAAATTATAGTTTTACACCAATCAAGAAGAAATTAGCAAAATGTTGAAAATATGTTGTAAAATTACAGTTCTTAACACACTGATGACATCAGGCTAGTGAAAATTCTACCCCAAAATTAGGCAAATTGTACACACGAGAAACTGATACTGTAAACAACTTTTCTTATATTGCTACTTGTCAAGTATTAATTTCTGCGCACATTAAACGGGTTTTGGTCTAGTGTACAATGGTTGCAAGGTAACAGTTATTGAATTCCCTAGCGTGATGGCATGATTTTCAACTAAGAAGTACAATTTTAAACCACCAAAATGACCAAAGTGAGGGGAATTACATTTTAGTAAATTCTTAAATCTTGACTGTGTTCTATTAAAAAGAGTAGTCCAACCTGTCATTGGCACTTTAACTGTAGAAAAGAATCATTGCCTTATTCGTTATCATTTTGTTTGTTTTGTTGTCTTCGGTGTCACGAGCATCTGTGGTAGTAGGTCCGCTCCAAAAGTGAGTCGAGTTGGTGCAGACAGAGGGAGCCCGCACACCGGTCTACATGATGGAGCGCCTGCACCCACATGCACCCATCTGTAATTTACCTCGGTTTAAGACAAAAGATAACAATTAACCATAACTTTGAGATCCGGTAAATAAATGAATGGTGTTCCTAATAGCTCCATAAATTTATAGAGCTATTTTTATTCTTCAACTGGTAGTTGAAGCAGGAAGACTGTGTTTGTTTTAACTTTAGAGACAATGTCTCGCTTTATCTCATTCCTGGTAACTCCGCATTTGTTTGGTTTCTTTTTTAATCGCCTAAATTTAAACTTTTATCTGTTTACGGTTTCTGCCTAAACCAGAGCCAAATTTTGTCCTGTGATGACTTGCGTAATCTTACCGTTCAAAGCCGCACTGTCCCGTCACCTTTTTCTGGCCTTTACTTTGAAGGCGCGCTCGTGGAACTTCCGATGGCCCGTGTGTAGTGCGCTGCGGCTCCTGTTTCCAGGCAGGCCGAGCACACACGGAGGGATTTAGTTATGTCCCGCTGAAGAGGAGGAGAAGGGGGAGGCGGGGGGAACAGCCCGAAACAACGGGAACTGAGTGGGCTTTTTTTTTAAGAAGGAAGGAAGCAGGAGGAGAGTTGAACGTATAAGTTTGGAGTTGGAGCGTTTAGCTTCGTTACGCACAGACCCTCGCGTCTGTCTGTGTTTATTGTCGCTACTGGAGCGACAAAATCTGCCTCTCCCTGTTGCAGAAGAACAGTTCGTGTTGTCCAATGAATGGAGTTGCTTTTTGCCTTGTTGGAATACCACCCTACTCTGAGAACCACGTAAGTACCGCGCGCTGGCACCGTTATATGATTCACTGTTATTACCTGCACGTTATTGTGTTGGGACAGCCTGAAGTACGCTGCACCAGGACTGGTCAGAGAGCGTGATTTCCTAAGAGGATTACCACTAGTTTACATAGCCACTGTGTACACACAATAAACTATACTGCGCTGCTGAGACGCAGAAGCTAATCAAAGTTTATGTAGTGCTTTTTGCTTGGTTGCGCGCGACGCTGGTGCCATCATGTATTTAAGCTTTAGCGACTACTTCCATAAAGCTGATCCAGACTTGTCTTTACGCGTGGGCTGCCGCAGTCTTTTGTCCGCCTCTCTGCATCAGGCTGCTGTCAGACCAGAGACAGGACGTCCCAAACTCAGACTGTGCATGGAGCCCACTACAGTATACTACTATAACTGGCTGTGCCATCTTTGTGTCTTTCCCACAAACAAACATACATTGTTCTGCACCAGACATTGGCCCATATATTAACTGAGAAAAATGGTGTAACTTTTCTTATTATAACTGAAAAAGATACTACATGCTACTAGTTTTAGGAATAATTTTCCCTAACCAGATTGTTACAGGTGCATTATAACTTTTTGAGGGTCTGTCACCTGCTTGATTATATGGATCATTCTGCCTGCGAATGTTACATAGTATGGCATTAAACAGCTCTATCTTACATTTATTCAATTTCAGGTGGTTTTATAGCACAAGAATACCTAGAAAAAACTGATAATCTGACTGAATGGGGTTGCTTTTCCACAGATCTGACCTGTAACTCTGGTTTGATCTCTAGTTTATTGTTTCACAGTATGTTATTAAACCTTTCTAGGTTTAGTAACATACTGTGAAACATTCCAGACAAAGCGATAACATCTATGGAGAAAAGCATTTGACAGAGCCTCCACAAGAATTACTTACACAATGCACCTTTATTTCTGCTTTGCCACTATTTGCCCTATTCCCACTTACTGCATGCTAAATCTCCAGGTATGTATGTAATTGTAAGAGTGTGACTCCTGGAATGTACCATGAGTTTGGTGTGTCATAGAGGAGTCATGGGGTGGATGTCACTGGGGCGGAGGTCTGTCACTGGGCACTAGACTTTGGCATATGGGACCAATCTGTTGTGTTGTGTGGATATGAGTTCCCCTGCCCGACCCTGTGCACTGTATGAATGTAGGATTGTTTGTCTAGGGTTGTGGGCATAATGGCCTTTGTGCATTATATTGCTTAGAGCTCCTCTTTACAATGTTTCCAATGTCTGTTGCTGTGCATTTACTTTAAAGGAAATTGTATTCATACTTGGACAAACTTTATAGATCCATGAAGGAAACCTCTTTGTCACTATAACAACATATTAAAGTGCATTGTGTAACTTTTCAGGTGGAGGGTGCATCAAATGCTTTTCTCCATGGAGTAATTGTATTGTCTGGAATGTTTCATAGTATGGCATTAAACCTTTCTATCTTCATGGAGATCAAACCAGACCAAGTTACAGGTCAGATCTGTGGAGAGGTGACCCCGCTCACAGTCAAAATACCTGTTTTTCTAGGTGTTTTTGAGCTATAAAACCACCTGTAATTGAATAAATGTAAGGTGGAGCTGTTTAATGTCATACTGTGGAACATTGCAGGCAGAGCAATGACATATCCATAGATACAAGCAGGTTACGGACCCCCAACCAAAAAGTTACATATTGCACCTTTAAAGATGCACTGTGTACGTTTTTTTTCTGGTTGAAGGTCCACCACATACATGGAGATTTGCTTTGCCTATAAAGCTCTATATGTCACTGAACTTAGACAAGCACTAATGCCACTATGCAGGTCAAGTTGCAGGTCAGATCTGTGGAGAGGCGAGTCCGCTCACTGTTTTTCAAGCAATAAAATTGGAGACAAGCAGGTGCCAGATCTTCCACCAGAAAAGCTGCTTTTTGAACTTTTAACAATACTAAAATCACTGTATCATATTATTAGGAATGGTTTTGAAATAAACATTAAGGACTTGTTTTAATTTGTTTATTGTGTTTTAAGTTAATTCTCTAATGCTTAATTTGAGTGTTGTCATGACGATACATTTTACAAGCCTTTTCATGCATTTCGACATACTATACCGGACTCATAGCCTCTGGATTTTAGATCAAGACTGACCTCAACCACAACCAATTTATAATTTTGAGCACATAATTATTTTAATTGGCTGCATCTTCAAAGGAAATCTCTTTAGCTTTTGGGTTTAAACCACAACACTCTCCCACAACTGAATGCTGTGAGGGTGTTGTCAGTGAAGTCAGTTGTAAAGAAAGTAAAAAACATCTTGTGGCATGGATATCTTGGTCTAGTTTGGTCTAATCTTGTTCTCAACATGCAGGTCAAGACGTTAAATATGCATGCGTTCTTATCGTGTGCTGTCATTTAAGTGCAAGGCTATTGTGACATGTTAGTACAACTCTGAGCTTGTAATTAGCCTGGATTCATTTTGCTTGACAACTTTTTACAAGGATCAGTAAGTCATTAGTTAGTTAGTTGTATTTTGTTTTTATAGCTCATTTCTTTCCCAAACTTAATTATACAAACATTGGACTGGAAATCTCATAAAATAGGAGACTCGCTAACACATAAATTGAATGAGTCAAGGCTAAGTTTATCTTTCTGTCGTATTGTATTCAAGATACCGGTTGTTATTCCATTGTATTATTTTCATTTTCTCTAAAAGTCCTCCAAACGGCATCCATAACAGGAAATTCACATTAAAGGGTCCATATTAAGCTGTTTTCTGTTTCATTCACAAATGTTTAACACACAAACCCTGCATATTTAGGCAGTTTAGGAGTTCTTCTCTCAAACTGAAAACACTCTGTGTTTACTGTGCTTTTAAACTTCATACACCATTACTAGAATCATTTGGATAAATTCAGCTCTGGAATTGCCCATCTCTACTGAACTAAAGGTAAAAGAAGCTGTTAACATGAAAACTACTGCTTCATGACATCACAAGGTGGAGCAGAGCATTTTGAGCTTTGGAGATGCAAATAGTCCAATTTTGCAGCAACATGTGTGAATGAAACAAAACACAATTCAAGTTATGTTTTGATGATTAAAGGTGAACATTAAAGCTTACAAGAGTCAACTTTGTGCAATATAGGACCATTAAAGAGGGGCTATTATGCAAAATCAACTTTTTGAAGTTTTCTTCCATAAATTTGTCCAAAATCCTTCTACCTGCGTATACAGCACTTTTTCTACCTCCCTGTTGTATTCTCCCCTGCAAAGACTTTAACATTTCCTGCTCGCGGTGGGCTGTAATTGGACCACTTTGGTTCTATGTTGCCTTTATAGCGCATTGCCTTCAAGCGTGTTTAATTCACCTTTCATCTTTTTAATTTTAGGCTTGTAACAAAGGTACCGAACTACTGTAAAACCCCACACAGCCGGTAGTAAGTGCGCTATAGACTGCTGTGTCTGAGCCCGCAAAATTGGCCTCCATTATCAACGCTAGCAAATAAAACGTACAATAGTCCTCTATATGTTTCCTGCTCTATTTTGTGCAGCTAACACAGTGTCCAGCCCTTTCCATACCTGACCTTTGACCCTGCATATTTTAGCCAACACCCACCAGCTTTAATTTAGCCATGTCTTTCCGCAAACATAATTTCACCTGTCTTTACGTGCTGAAAGGAATTTGTCCCATTGGATTATCGGTCAAAATATTTAAATGAAAAGCAACAAGGGGTAAATGAAATGGAAAAAAAACCCAATGCATTTAAAGGCCCTGTAACAGATCTTTTCCGTTCTTCATCGTAAATGTTGTGTTTTTCTTTTCTTTCTTGGCTACACAGTGCTGTCTCAGTTGTGTCTGTGTTCACCAGCAGGAGTTGCTAATTGTAGTTTTACTCTTTGTATTTTTTCAATCAGTGACAATCAAATCAAATGAATAAAACAATCATAAACAGCTATTGAGGTGAGCTTTGGATCACTGCAAAAAGTTCTGTTTGTGCATATTTTAAGACAGTAAAAATCAGGCACAGCACCTTTAAAGATGGGTTGTCAGTTATACATTATATAGATCAACTCAAATACGATCTTAGTTCTTGGAAATTTTCTTTTTTCCTAGATATTCTTGTTGTAGCCAGCACTCTCTGCCATCAACTGGGCATGTCATGGTTTGTTCTTGCCACAGGTATTATATTGCGTAATTTTCAAAACAGTTGTTGAATACATATTTTGATTTGAGCT